GCAGGATGGGCTCAGGCCTCTCGAGGGCAGGCCTCCCTGCGCCGTGGCTCTGGACACGGGACGGCAGCAGGTGGTGGTGCCCAGCGGCCCGTGGGCTGCCAGGCCCGTTGGAGGGTGAGACCGAATCCTCAGCAAACCTTACTGAGGAGAACACCTCAGGGGCCGGCTCCGATCTGGGCCTGTGTGTGCTTCTGAGGCACTGACTGCTGGAGGGGCTAGAGTGGGTCTCTCCAGAGTCTGCCTTGCACGGTCACTGAACTTGGATGTACGGTCTTTACAGAGGCGAGGTGGTCGGGTTAAAACGAGGTTCCTAGGGGTCCCGAGTCCCCTGGGACTGGCGTTCTTATAGGGGCAGGCGAGCAGGACCCAGGCACGGGGAGAGGACGGCGTCTACATGCCCGGGAGAGAGGCCCCTGGAGCATCCAGCTCTGCTGACGCTGGGACCTTGGATTTGCAGCCCCAGGAACTTCGAGAGTGTACACGTCTGTGGCGCAAAGCTGCCCAGGGCGCGGTGCTGCGTCCCACCGCCGACGACAGGCGCTGTGTCTGCAGCACAGGGCAGGGAATGGGTTTCTCTGTGTACAGACTTCCGCTCCAATTGCTGAAAACAATGCCATTTGGCTCCAATCAGGGAGGTGAGTCTAGACACCCCTGGATTTCCGGTGATGCCCCAGTCCCGCTGACGTCTCCGCAGGCCCAGGCTGAAGCTGGGGGTGTGTGTGCCTGCCACCCCGGCCCCCGGCCAGCCGTCCCTACTCCTGCCGAAGCCCCGTGTGCCCATGGGGACCCCTGTGGGGGGCTCGGCCCGGGAGGCTGAGGGCTGGGGGCAGGTGACTCTGTAAGGACGCAGGCCCAGATCCCAACAGTGCTGGTCCCCAAACCGCAAACTGCCATCACCTGCAACCCAGCACGGCCAACAAGCCCAGCACTCCCAGGATGAGCTCGGCCTGCTCTGCAGGGCACTGTGGCCAAAGCCCTTGGCCACGGGGGCTCTTCTGAGCTGGGGATGGCCCCAGGGGAGGCAGCTGTGGTACACTGGCCGTGGTCCGCAGCAGCAGGGGCGGCCAGCTCCTGGTGGCTGCTGCCTGTGTGTCCCCTGGGCATGCCCCCAGTTGCCCCTCTGCAGGCGTGTGCCGACATTCCCATCCTTCAGGTGAGAGAACTGAGGCAGAACAGAAGTGCCCTGGGGACCAGGATGAGGAGAAGGTGGCCCTCCCCGCGGGCCTCTGCTCTGTGATAAGCAGTGGAGGGCTGCTTTCCACGCTGGTGTTGCGGAGGTCGGGTGAGCGTGGTGGGAGAGACCCAGACCCATTTTCCCTTCAGTAGGGACAAAGGAGGTGCGGTGGAGCTGGGAAATATTTGAGAAGTAGGGGAGCCCCCAGGGAAGGAGCACCCTTTCCCCACCACTGGGCAGCGTGCACATGGCCGAGCCTTCCGTCCTCCACTTGAAAGTTGGCCCAGATTTTAGGGGTCGGTTTCTGAGGGATAGGAGGGAGGAGGAGGCCCCAGGCCCTGCCACGTGCCTCAGTTTACCATGTAGTCGACAGGTCAGGTTGGATGGCTCCAGCCCCAGAGGCGTGGGTGGCGGAGCCCACAGTGAGCTGCATGTGGGTCCCGCCTTGCAGCCCTGTCCCAGGTCGGCCCCTCCCCCTAAGGAGGCCTTTCCACCGCCTGCCCCCCCACCGCCTGGTTGGCATGGCAACAGCCTCCTGGCTGGTTCTGAGAAGGCCAGCTGAGTCACCAGCCCAACTGAGAATGTGACAGGGTCTCCCTGCAGGACAGTGGCCCTGGTCCTGAAGGCAGGCTCATCGGGAGCCAGGCTTCGTGGGGGAGGGAAGGTGCTGGGCATCATTTCTGAGAAGCAATGACCTACCTGCATTTGGGGTCAGGACTGGTAAGGCCTCAAAGTATAGCCCAAAGCCCAGCAGCCCTTTTCAGTGCCAGCTCAGCTCGGCACTGCCCTTGGGGCCCCCTGCCCTTGGGTCTGCTTTGGCTCTACCTGGAGGACACTTTGGCCAGGACCAGGCTTGGGACACACATGTGAGGCTGTCTGCTCGTCTGCCCCAGGCCTGGAGAAAACAGGGACAGCTCAGAGAGTCCTGGGTCCACGTCCCCATGCGAGGGCAGAGAGGGGCTGGGACACCTACCCACGGCCACCTGCCAGCTCTGACACCAGCCTGATCTAGTTCAGGACTCTAGAACCCCCACAGGGGCAGACCCGCCCAGCCACTGCCCAGCTCCACCCCTCTTGGTCTCCCTAGAGTTGCAGGAGGGCCCCACAGGGTGAAGGCAGGGACACCCCCCCCAAGTCTTGCCCACATCTCCCCAGATTGGGCCTCTGGGGGCCTAGGCCCATCCGAAGGGAGGTGGGGTACATAGGAGTTGTAGTGGGAGAGAAAAAGGCAAAGGGTATGTGGGGGACCAGTGGGGGCACCCAGGTGTTGCAGCTGCCTCCGGAAGGCAGGTGGACAGGAGGACCCAAGACCAGTGGACCAGGAGGCCTCAGATCCAAGCTCGAGGGCCTGTGGCTGCTCAGCAGGTGCCCCCATTGCCCCCTGTACAAGAAACCAGTCCCCTCACCAGGTCCCAGCCTGCATCCGGCCCCCCACCCCCATGGCAAGGAGAGCAGCCTGAGGAAAGAGGGTGTGCCACCTGTCCATGGCCCTGCACTAGCCCACACCCCACTCTATGGGGCACCCTCTGAGACAGGGTCCCCAGAGTGGCCACTCCCCACCTAGGACCCTCCCCTGTCCCTGGGCTGCTTCTGCCCCCACCCGCCCAAACCAGCGGTGCCCCCACTTCCCGCACACACTTGGAGATGCCCGAGCTCCCATCCCTGGAATAATCCCGGCCATCTCCACGGGGTGCAGACTTTATTAGCAGGGTCAGCATGAAGACGATGATGGGACAAAGGACAGCTCTGGTGTCCAGGCTGTCGTGGCAGGCAGGTGCACGCAAGCCAACCGTCCCACACAAACCAGTGTCCTCTGGGTCCCAGAGGGTGGCCCACCCCTGGGCAGAGCAGCATGAGACCGCGGGGAGGGGGCGGGACGGGCCCAGGAGGACCCCACACAGCAGGCCCCCCTCGGACGGCATCCGTGCGCCTCTACCACACACCCGCACGTTTGTGCGTCAGACACGCAGAGTTCCTTGGACCGGTGTGGGTTGTCACATTAAAAACTAACCACTTCTCTTTACATTAACTTCACAGTAACTGTTTGCCGAAGACAATGAATCCAGTGTTGGTAAGTCAGGAGGAAAGTCCGATTCTTCCCCCACGGAACCTCTGGGGAAAACCAGGGCGGCCGCCTCTCCCTGCCGCGTGCTGGGGCTGTGGGCACGGCTTGCCTCACCATTTGCTGGAGACACACACACACACACACACACACACACACGGAAACCTGCTCGTGGAGAACATGACATGGAGTGTGAGGTAGCCCTTTCGGAGGAGCCCACGGTCAGGACGATCTCAGGCAGGGGCCCCTTCCTCAGTGCGCTCTGGTCTGCAGCCGGGCCAGGGCCTCAGAGCCCCGCGCGCCAGGAAAGGCCCTGCAGCACATGGCAGGCTGTCCACATGCTGGGAGAGCAGAGGGAGCTCGGGGAGACAGCTCCTCTGCCCACCTGCTGTGAAGGCCATCGGTCCTCTCACTCCAGACCAGGCAGACAAATAAATACATCACGTGGTTGCCAGGACACGAGAAAATCACTTAACCTTGGCTGGACGCTGTCCTCAGTGCCTCCAGTCCGCGGACCCGAGGAGTCCAGGGGGCTCTTGGAAGTGGGGGAAAGGCCCCGCCTGTCCTCTCCCCCTTTGTCATAATCACAGAGACTCAGGCAGCAAGACTGGCTGGGTGACGCCCCCCCAACTACAAATGCAGAGGTCTTTTGAGTCTAGGAGCTGTGGATGACAGTGGGGGGCCGTGACCCCAGCCCAGCAGGTGTTTGTCCCCTCCCTGTTTGATGGCAGCTTGCACCCAGGCCCCGCTGGAGGGAAGGGAGAGCCTGCAAACATGGCCCCTCGTAGAGAGCGGCACTGGCCCCCAGCTCGGTGCTCTGGAAATGATTGGCCGCTCCGGGGAGACCTCAAGTGGGCAAGCCAGGGACCTCGGGGTGAGGCCCACCGCAGCCCTGTGGCAGCCTGCAACACTCAAGGCCCCTCCTGGCCCCACCCAAGGGAGGCTCTGAGGCACCCCAGACCCCGAGCTCAGGCAGGGAAGCAGCACGGCCCATCGCCCGTGGGCAGACATCTGGCAACCTCAGGGAAGCTCTCTCTGCATCTAAAGAGTATTGTTCCCAAACTGCGACCTCCTCTCTCCCAGCTACCGGCAGTGTGGTCAGGGTCACTGGCTCCAGGGACCCACCTCCAGCCCCAGTACCCGGAATGCAGGAGCCCCTTGGCGTCTGGCTGGTTCTGCAGCCCAGCCATGCCAGCTGTGCCTCGATGTCCCTGCCTGCACACCCTGTGCCCGGGGCCTCCCGGAAAGGCTCCTGCTGCCACCCACCAGGAAGGGCCTGTTCCATCCAAGTGCCCTTTTCCGGACACGCCCGCAACTTCTGTGATGTGCGTGTTCTCTACCACGCCCGGTGCCCGGCTCATGAAGGTATGCCCGAGTGAGTCAGCGAGGTGGTCAGGAGAGCCCCCCTCGGAGGCAGAAGTGCGTCCTCCTTCCTGGTTCAAGGATGGTGGCTGGGCTGGAGCTCAGGGCCCTCGGGACAACCCCCCCGCCCCCCAGGAGCTGACTCAGGGGATGGAGAGGAAGACAGTGATCAAGGTCAGGGCACAGCTGGGAGCCAGAGTCCACTGGAGCCTGGGGGAGGGAGCAAGGTGTGGAAGAGGGTGGCCCCAGCCATGCTGAGTGCCCCCAAGTTTGGGGCTGCAGTCCAGGGGCAGTGGGGGCCTTTCCGCTGGGAGCTGCAGCACGGGGGATCCCTGCCACCTGGAGCTCCCATCCCTTGCCTTCCATCCCAGCAGGCCACCTGGGCGCCCCCCCTCCCCCCGCCCTCCCAAGGACAGGTCACACCAGCAGGGACTTGACCAAGCCACAGTGGAATTTCCGGACGTGGCGGTAGAGGTCACCGGACTGCGTGAAGCGGCGCTCGCACCAGCGGCAGGCATGCGGCTTCTCGCGAGTGTGCACCACGGCGTGGCGGCTCAGGTTGTGCGAGTACTGGAAGCTCTTGCCGCACTGCGTGCACGTGTAGGGCTTCTCGCCCGAGTGCGTGCGCTCGTGCCTCTTCAGCGTGTAGGTGCAGGAGAAGGTCTTCCCGCAGAGCGGGCAGGTGGGCAGTGTGCCGTCGGGCGACAGCCGCACCTGGGCGCCGTCCCGCTCGCGGAAGTGGGCGCTGAGGTGCAGCTGCAGGCCGCGGCCGCCGGGGAACAGCTTGGTGCACAGCGGGCAGACGCGGAGGGGCCCGCCGGGACCCAGCTCGCCCCCACTGGCCCCCCGCTCTGCTTCCAGCTCCAGCTCCCTGCCGCCCACGCCAGCGGCCGGCAGCGGCTCCAAGCCCACAGCCCGGCGCTCAGCTGCAGGAGCGCAGGGGGGCTGCAGGGGGCGGTGAGGGCCGCGAGGGCCGCCGTCGTCCTCGGGTTCCGAGAGCGAGTCCCGCGAGTCCTTCACCGGCGGCGGGAGGCCGGGCTGCCTCCGGCGGCAGGCGGCTGTCTGGAGGACGCAGGGTGGGTGGACTGGCTCCCGCCTGGGGCTCCGCTTCAGTGACAGGTCCAGGGCCCGGTCCGAGTCTCCAGGGCCCTGCCAGGGAGGGGGGCCCGGGGCTCGCGGAGGGAGGGCGTGGACCCCAGCCCGGGGCGGCTGGGCCTTCTGGGCCGCGGGGCAGAGCTCTGGGGACCGGGCGGTCTGGGGGCGCGGGGGCTGGTCCGGCGGCTCGGCCCGGGCGGCGGGGGTCCCTCGGTGCAGCGCGCGGCCCCTGTCCCTGAGCCTGCCCTTGCAGACCTTGACGACGTCGTACATGTGCAGGTAACTGGCGGCCGCCAGGACGTCCTCCACCGGCAGGCTGCGCAGGTCCAGGCGGCCCTCGTACATGAAGTCCAGCAGGCGGCTGAAGGCGGGCGCCGTGACCACGTCGCCGTTGAGCCGCACCGCGTCGCGGCTGCCCGCCGGCCGCTCCCTGTAGAAGAGATGGAAGTAGACGCTGCACGCGGCCAGCACGGCGCGGTGGGCCGGGAAGCGCGCGGCGCCCACCAGCACGGTGCAGTCGCACAGGAAGCCCTGGTCGCGCTGCTGCCGCAGGCGCCCCAGCAGCCGCGCGCCGTGCTCCGGGAACTCCATGCGCCGCGGGCCCCGGCGGGCGCGGACGGGCGCCCCCGCCCCGCCCCCGCCGCCGGCACCTGCCCGGGCGCAGGAGAAACTCCACCGAAAGTAAACAGAAGACGCCGGCCGGGGGCGGGTCCCGGGGCGCGAACCTGCGCGCGCCCCCGCCGGGCCGCCCCTGAACTTCACTCCGGGGTGCCGCCCGCCGCGTCCCCCGACGCCCGCGTCGCCGCCCGCCGCCGCCGCCGCCGCCGCCGGCCCCATTTATGGCAGCGCGGCCGCGGGGAGCGGGAGCCGGAGCGGGCCGGCGGGCGGGGCGGGAAGAGCCGGCGCCCGCCCCCCGCGCTCACCTCCGCCGCCCGCCCGGCTCTCCGGCCGCCGCCCGCGCCGCGCGCCCTCCCCGGTGCGGCCCCGGTGCGCGGGGCTCCGGGCGGCGCGCCCCGGCGGGGAGGGCGCGGGACGGCAGGGCGCCGGGCGGGGCGCGCTCCAACTTGGCCGGCCAGACCGCGCCCGCCGCTCGCCCCGCCCCGGAGAGAGCGAAACTCGGGGCGGGGGTTGGAGGGGGCGGGCCGAGGCGACTTCCCGGAGCGGCGGAACCGCTGAGGTCACCCTCGCCGCCCCTTCCCGGCCCGCCCCGCCTTGCCCCTCCGGGGCTGGTGAGCCGCCAGCTGGGGCACCGGGGTGGGAGGGGGTGAGAGGCGCGGCGGGGGAGGGGGCTCTCTCGCGATATTTGCCGCCTCGGCCTGGGTGTCTACCGCCCCTCACGGGGTCCCAACTGCGCCCTCTGCTACCGCACCCCTTCCGAGGACCCGCTCCTCTGCGGCCCGCGCTGGGGCTGTCACCCGAGGGCGCACTTTGGGGGGCGCTGGCTGTGGGAGGAAGGAGGGGACCCATGGAGGGGGTCGTAAATTTTGAAAAGATGACAACCCCCTTCTTCATTGAAAGCCTCTTTCTGAATTGGAATTAATTTGGCTGGTACTTTCCTCCAAACACCTGGGCGGGCTCTCGGCAGAGCCCAGAAAAGGGGACCCCCTCCCGGTCAGCAGAGCCTAGCTCCACCTGTGGGGGCGGGGCCGGGTGCCCTGAGCTCTGTGTCCCGGAGCCCCAGGGACAGGGCACATTTCTGCAGACCTGGGGGACAGCCCAGTGCCTCGGAGGGAGCCCCAAGTGCCCCAAGTCCAGGGCAGGTGGAAAAGTGTTTAGGAAGGGAGAGACCCTGTGGAGGAGTGGAGCTGGCATCCTGAGGGCAAGGTGTGAGAGCCCCCGAAGGTGTCAGGGTGTCACCCAGGTCTGCCCAGAGAAGAACCTAGGTGTAATAGCGACGATTTTGGAGAAGTTGGGGTCCCGGCGGTGGGGGGTACTGTTGGCTGGCAGTCTCTTCCAGTCTCTTCTAAAGGGGCTGCCCTTGTTGGAGCAGAGACAAAGCACTGACCACTGCCCAGCTTCCCTTCCCAGCAATCCGGCAGGCTAGATGCTCTTGTTATTACCCCTGTTTGCTGGTGGAGGGTGGTTAGTGAGGGAAGGGCCCAGGGCCACGAAGCAGGCCATAGAGCGGGCAGTAAATCCCTAAACCAGGGGTGGGGAGCACCTGGGGGGCTCAGTCGGTTAAGTGTCTGCGTTTGGCTCCAGTCATGATCCTGGGGTCCTGGGATCGAGCCCTACATTGGGTCCCCTGCTCAGCGGAAAGCCTACTTCTCCCTCTCCCTCCCCTTCTACTACTCCCTCTGCTTGTGCTCTCTCTGTCAAATAAGTAAATAAAATCTTAAAAAAAAAAAGTAGCAAGTCCCTGAATCGGGATTCGAATCCCGACAGTCTCCTGAATTCCCACCTGTACACATCCCCAGAGATAGAGGCTGGGCTGGGAAGGAGGAGGACCCCCCACCCCGATCGACTAGGGGTGGAGGAGGTGCTGGCCAAGGGGCTGGATTACAGAGGGTGGGCCATCAGCCTGCAGGATGAGTGGGGAGGCCTCCAGCTGAGCTCTCCAGGAGGAGGGAGTGGCCCCCGTGGGATGGTAGGTGCGAGCCACCCAGAGGTCCTAGTCAAAGCCTCGGGTTAGAGACCTGAGGAAGGGCCCAGCACAGCTGGTATCTCAAGCCTGCGGGAAGGAAAGCCACATTTTTATACTAAAACATTATTCCTTATTCATTTGAAGTTCACATCTGACAGGACATCCTGCATTTTTCTTTCCTAAATCTGGCCAGCACCCTTGGAACCCTGAACTCACACCGCACTCAGCCGCTGAGACTGCCCTGGCTCTGGAGGTTTGTTCCCACTGGTCCCCCACCCCCACCCTGGCACCCCCTTGGCTGGCCTCCCTGCAGGAGAAGCTGGATTCAAGTCAGGTCAAAGCGAACCCTGGTGGGATGGCCCCCTGGGGTCTTGTCTGGCTTAAAGTCTGCCAGCTGCCCCCTCCCAAATTCGGGGACAGTGCTCAACCTCCTTGAGCCTTGAAACCCTCATCTGCAAAGTGGGAGGTTAACTATAGGGCCCGGGGTTCCCATTGTGTTCCCCCAGAAGGCCCAACACCCTGCCCTGGCTCCTCCCCCATTTCTGTCTTTGTTCCCTGGGCCGTGCGCCTCCCCCACCGTGGTCTCTGCTGAACACCCCAACTAAGAGCCCCCAGGCCCACCTTCTCCTTTCTTAGCCTGAGCCTTCCACAGAGCACTCCCCGGTCCCGAGACTGCGCATGACCTCAGGCTTTCCTGCTGCCTTCTCCATGTGAAGAAGGCAGCTAGGCCCTAAATGGGGGTTCAGTACGTGTCTCGAGTGAATGCAGGGGCTTCTGTGAGCAAGGTCCAACCAAATCCTGACTGCTCTGTGGCGCCTGCCTGTCCAGTGCTATTTCCCCACGTCGGGCCCCCGAGGCCAGGGAGGCAGGAGGGAGGCCAGCCGTCCTGGGGCTCTGGGCGGACAGCTCCCCAGGCAGGCCAGAGTGAGGCCCTGGGGCAGGCGGTGTGTCCTGGCCTGCCCCGCCTGGCTAGTGGGACAAAGCGCTCCTTGGGGCCCTGACCGAGGCTGCGGGGTGTGGAGACGGGCCGAAGCCGGTTAGGACACTGCTGGCGGGAGCCTGGGAAGCCCGCACAGGTAGGGATGAGCTAGAGGAGGGGGGAGGGCCGTCATTGCTGGGGAGGCCCCCCCACTCTGTGCCTCTCAGGTGGGAAGGCCTGAGTTCAGTGCCCCTGTCCCCACCCCCCCATTCCCCAGGAGGGGCTGTCCCAGAAGCCCCTGGAATGGCACTTGGGAGCTGCCCACCCCCCTCCCTCCCACCCCTCCCCCAGCATCCCCACTCTGGCTAGACAAGGTCGTGGACACCGGGATGGCGGGGAGGTGCCTGAGGTGGTTTGGGTAGAGCCTCCCTGGATGCAGCTGGCCGGGCGGCCATCTGGCCTGGGAGCCGCCCCCGGGCCCCGCCCCACAGCTGCTGCTGAGCCCCTGCGGCGGGGGGTGCTGGCCTGCGCCCGCCCGATGGCCGGCAGCTGCAGAAGGTGACAGGGCTCGAGGCCCCTGAGCTCCAGCGGTGGGGGGTGGGGTGGGGTGGGGTGGGGTGGGGGTGGGGAGGTGGCCACACTCCCCAAGACGGCTACAGCAGTTTTGGCTGCAAACGTCTGGTCGAGGGCCTCCCCAGAGGCCCCAGCGTGGGCCAGGCTGGGCTGACAGGACTGGGTCCCCATCTTGCCATTCTGTCTGAGGTACAGGGCGGATGTTGTTAAGGGGAAGGTTCCAGAGGAGGGTTCCAGAGGAGGAGAGGGTCAGCCCTGCCTTCGGGGCTGCCCCCATGTCACAGGGCAGGCTCCCACAGAGGTGCAGTCGGGACCGGGGCCTGCAGGGGTGGGGCATGGGGCTGCCGGTGGGTCTCAAGGCACTTGGTGGGCACCAGAGCTCCATGCTGAGCTATGGGGAGGCCTCCTGGATCAGCAGGGAGCTTTCGGACCCCCACGGTGCAGCCTCCTGGCCAAGATGCCTTTCCTCAAATGGCCCGCAAGGCCCGGGGAGCCGCCATGTCTTCCATGAAAGGGCACCTGCCCAGACCCCCCACCCCAATCTCTTCTTGCCCTGGGCCTTCTCCATAGCCTGCCTGGCCAGGATGGAGGTGGGTCTGGACCCTCTTCCTGGGAGGGCGGTGGGTAGATGGGACAGTTCCTGAGGGGTCCCAGGGGCCCATGGGGAAGGTTTGCAGGGTAAGGGGTGGACAGATGCGGGACAGCTGGTGGGTGACCTCAGGGCAGGTGTCGGTCCCAGAAGCATGGATGACTGACTCATCCAAGCCTCTCACTGGGCCCCCTGGAGGCAGGGCCCGGTGGGGGCTGGCGGGGGGCACTCAGTTGCAGCTGAGAGTCCTGGGCTGGGTTGGGGAGAGGGGCAGTGGGGCCAAGGGGAGGAACTGGCAGCCACCTTCCCGAGGAGGGAGTGTCCCCCTGAGGAGGGGAGGGTCCTTCTCCAAGGAGTTTAACTCTGTCCCGGAGCCACAGGAAGTCTGCCAGGAGCCCCAGTTTTGGGAGCAGATGCTTGGTGAGCCGCTCCGTGGGGCTCCATCTGCCTCTGACCCAGAAGAAGGATCTCTACCTTCCAGGCTGAACTCTGACCCTGGATGAGGAACAAAAATGCCCCCCTCTGCCCCACAAAATACACTCCCACCCCAGAAGGGCAACGCTCAGGAGTCCTCCTTTTACAAAAGGGTCCCTGTCAACTTGGAGGCCTCAGGGATGGGGGGAGGGGCTGCTGCTGGAGAAACTTCTGGCTCCAGGGGAGAGCAGGGCCCAGGGAGGGGTCGGGGTGGGGAGTCATCTGCGGTGTCCTGGGAATCTGTAGGCGGAGGGGGCTGGGGTCCTCCTGCCTCCTCAGCCTCTCAGCCCTCTGTCACCCCTCGAAGTCTCCCATCTCCTCTTGAAGAACGGTCCCTGTGTTCCTTAGGGGCAAGGGGAAGCTCCTGGAAGCCCCTTTCGAGGGGTGGGGCGCCCCTCCCAGGGTAAGGTCGTCCATCAGCACAAGGGGCCTGTGTCCCCTTCCTCCGCAGCCTTCCCTGTCCCCGTGCACTGCAGCCAGCCTTCCGGCCGCTCGCTCCTGACCTCCACCGGCCGCCTGCACGCGGCCCCAGGACCGCTCGCTCGGCAGGGTCCTCGGATTGGGCCTGTTAGGACCATCTCGACGGCTTTCCGGCCCGCGGCACGGGCTCCCACTTGGGGCACCCCCGGAAAGGCACACTGCCCCCCCCCAACCCCGGGCGCCACGGAGGCAGAAGCCCGGGATCGTCCCCGGCCGGCCCTTCCCCCAGGGCCGCGGCGGAACCGGGCCGGGAAGCGCGGGCGCCCCGGACGCGCCGGGAAACTGAGGCCGGGGAGCACGCGGCCCGGGCAGCGTGGGCGGCCCGTCCGCCGCGCGCTCCCGGCGCCGCGCCCTCGCCCCGGCCGCGCCGGGGGCGCCCCGGGCGGCGGAGGCGGATGTGGGCGGGCGGCCGGGCGGGGCGGCGCGGGGC